CAGGAATGGGAACAGTGACATTCAGGGCAGCCTGGACTTTCTGAAAAGCAGCAGTGCTGTGGGAGCACTATCAGCTGTGTGTGTCTCAGAAAACAAGGATTTGTCAGCCAGGACATGGCTGAAAGAGGGTGACAAGAGATCTAAAGGGACAAACAAAGAAGTCAGTCAGTGAAAGAGGGAGAGGAGATTCTAACTAAAAAGCAACAGAGGATATTTTGTCTCAGTACTTCGGGCTGTTTGTTAGTGGCATGGGGCTAATTCACACTTCACGAGACTAAATATAGTTAATAAAAAAAGCTAACTCTCAACATATAAAACTAATAGATTTCCAACCACTTTACCCAGAAGGACAAAACCTGTTTTAGTAACTCTTTTGTGCAGATGGACAAACTGACACGGCAATTTCCAGCTAGCCTGAGCACCACCTGTCTCAGGGCACTGAGTCAGAGGAGACAGAGGCTTCTGAGCAGCCGCCCAGCAGGTCCAAGTAGGGCAGTAAGTAACCAAGGAACAAGAAGAACAGAGTAGATTTAGGAACTTTTATGGAATTCAGGCAATCTGACCATGTTCCAAAGAGCTTAAGGGTCTTTTCCTAGATCACACAATACCACATCGGCAAACCATGAACACCCTGGCTTCCAGCCAGAAGCACTGTCCTCTGTCCAGCTGCACAAGTGAACAGAAGAGGGAGTTCTCAATTGAAGGAATTTTTTTGCTGCAAGTTTCCAAGCTAGGCTTGATAGCTAAAACAATTGAAAACATTTACAATAAAATTAAAACAATACGTAATTGTATTGTTTTCCAGCTATTCTGGTGCCAAGAAACAGCTTTGCTCAGGAAACCAGTTGTAAATCTGACAAGGAAGAAACAGAGATAAGTAGCACTGCTTGCCAAGAGAGACTCCCTAAAGTTAACTGTCTTGAACTTTGTGAAGGAAGAGGAGGCCTTCAGCCCAGTTCAGCTGTACTCTAAATTAAAACCCAGTAAAGTCAGGGTGACACCTATGATATGGTGCATTGCCCCTTAAATCAAGCATTCACAATACAATACAAGAGCCAGATATAGTTGATTATCTAGGAATTCTAAATCTAGGTGTATCTGTACACTGAATGTGCATGTATACTGAATTATATCAGTTCCAATGGTGTTAACAAACAAATGCTGATAAGGCAAACAGCTTTTGGGAATCCTGGCTGGTGTCTAACACTATCCTGAGCAAGTGTGGATGCTCATGTGTAAGCTCATGGCTTAACTCACACATGCTAGCAAGGTATGGGAGTAAGCTACAAAACCCTCCAGGGCAGCTCATTACACAGCAAAGGTTTCAACACCTCAGCTACAAAAACTAATAAACCTACCTCCTAGACACCTGCATTTTCCTGGACAATAAACTGAGCTGAGGTTCGATGGAAAGAGTAGTCAGGTGAGAGGACTGCAGGACAGGGTCTGGTATGTACTGAGTCTCTGTAAGAAAGGGGGTTCAGAGAAAGAGAGACTGAAGGTTTTGAAGTGGAAATGATGGAAAGGGCACATTGTCAAGAGATGGGACAAAGGATGGATGAAGCAGGAACAGGCATTAGAGATTATGAAGGAACTATTTGAATGCTGTAAACACCGGGGAGGGAGAAGAATTGTTTAGGGTGGTTCAGTGATATTTCTAGGAGTGATGGGACACAGATAAGCAAGTGGAAAATGTAAGCTATTAAACAGGAAACATTTCCTGATGGTGAAGGCTAATAGACTGTGCAAAAGTCTCCTAAGGGAAGTGGCAGGAGCTGCTCAGACAATTAAAACTAGGCTACACAACATACCTTAGGGCACAATCATGCCAGAGACCACAGACAACTGACTGGATGTGACAAGTATCTTTCCTTCTCGCTTCAGAAATAAAACCATAAAGCCCAAGGGAAAAAAAAAGGATCATTGTAAATGCAAAGTCCTTGTATGCAGGGAGGAATCACATCTGACTCAAATAAAATCCAAAAGTAAATTTTCTTTGTGACGCAGGATATGGTAGTTTGGTTCCTCCTGAGCAGTATCTACACAAAAGATTCTATTCTCTAATGTTACGTTAAAAACAAGTAAAAAAACCCCTAATTCACAATAAACATTAATTCATTGTTTGCTCAGACATTCTGCAATATTTAATTAACTAGGTTTAAGATTTAAGAGCTTTAAAGACCTTTTTCTTTGGAATTGCTGAATCCTGTTGTACTTCATGGATGCCATCCAACTTTCCAAGCCAAAACTGTGATAAATACTTGATATAAAAACACTAATTATTTGTTAATTTGAATATATCAGGAATTCTGCAGAAAGCTTGCAAAAATTAAACACTAATTATTCGGTGTTCATTGCATTAAAAAAAAAAAAAGGAAGAATACTCATGAGTGCTGGGTGTAAAGTGGCAGTAGCCATCTGAGGGATGGATTTTTTTTCTAATTTAAATTTTAAAAAATTTGTCTCCCCATCATCTTGGTGTGCAGGCTGAAAGACTTTTCCTGTGCTCATGCATCAATCTACTAAGACATGACTGAAACACACAAGCTTATTTGAAAGAACCTGCCAAACACCTGTCAGCTGGCAAAAAGTCAGTCGTTGCTTTGGGTAGGACTGGACTCAGACTCAGCAGTGAAAGGCTCCATAGCCCACTCCCATTTCACTCCTCTGACACAGAGATGCTGTATCAGCACCCCTGACAATATGATTGTATTATATTTACCTTCCCTCAGTGTTTCCTGTGGGTGTCCCTGATTTTCCTGGTTTTACCGTCACGGTCTAAAAGGTCCACGGCCTTGCACCCAACGAACAATGAGCCTGCTGCACTGACTCCTCATTGTGAATCATATTGACCATAAAATTTGATTTGCATTACAGTAATACTTTGATGTCTAAGTTACGATCACACTCCCATTGTGCAAGGCACTATACAAACGCAGAACAGGAGAACCTGTTCCAAGAATTTACAGTAAACAGAACCTAATACCTCACTGACCTTGATTTCTCAGCTCACAACTTTCCTTTCTGGTTTAACTCATGCCCCGAAGAGTTTGAGGCCAAATCTTTGCAGGCAACTATCCTTTCAAGCTACATAGATTCTCCCATCTTTAAACATAATGGGTTATTCCTATTATGTAGCATTTTTTCTCCTGAAGGCTCTTGCACATATAACTTGCAAAGACTGTTCCCAGTCACAAGGTGCTGGTGTACCAGTTAAAGCAAATCCTGACCACTGGACTACAGAAGCTGCCAAAATAAGCCTGCAGTCATTCATCCATGCAAACATTAACACATCTGAAACATAACCAAGCATTGTGAAATTGGCCTACCTGGTATTTGCTATGCATTTATTGATTGAAGTATTGATCAAGGCACTTGGTGACATTCTGTGCTTGGAACTTCTGGTTCTGTTCCCCAGCGAAGAGGAGAAATTGCTCAGCGCTGCTGGAGGGCTGGTGCCTTGTGTACACAGGCCTGAAAAAATGCAACAATCAGTTTTAGAAATGGCAGGTCCTAAAGCCAAGGTTTTTGTATGTTTAGAAGTGTGTAAAAATATAAAACCGTGTTTAAACCAATTTTTGATAATAACAAATCAGATGTACAAACTCCTACAGTTCTTGCAATACAAATGTAGCAATGTTGCTTATTTTTCATCTCACTATTACTAAACATTTGCTAAACTAGAAAGGGAGTCAACATTATTTATAGTTTTCAGCATAAATTTAACTTCTGAGAGAGATTAACACTGTAATTTTTACAAGATTGTATTAATTGCTTCAAGCTCATCCAAGTCTCCTCTGTTGTTACAGCTAGCCCCATTTTGTACCAAGGTTCTATTTATAACTTCTAAACACTTAATAGTTGGATGGTATTGCTAGGTTACTGATATGAAGATAAAGGTGTTAAAAGCAATTATGAACCGTTCAGAAGATGTGTTATAAAAGGGTACAAATTATGGTAATTAGCAGTCTAATGACAGGATTCCTCCATAATAATTCCTTAAAAATTGGTTAGTCATTTATTAAGATGTCTATAATTTATTGTTTGCCTAATCATAGGCAAACAGAAACTATTAATCATTATTATAAGAGGCTTTAATTGTTATTGATTAAATACCCAAAGAGTTAACTCCTGTTAAAGTTATACACTGTCATTGAAGCATGCTGCAATAAACAAAACAGTCCTTACTTCTCTGACTAGATCAACACACACTTAAAGTAAAAAAGAATAAATAAATTCCTCTGAATGCCATATTTCTTCTGGCAATGAAAAAGTAAGATTAAGATGTTTTACTGAAAAATTCTGCAACCATCTGTGTGGGATTACAACTGGGTTAGAATTAGGATTCTTCATGTCTTTGGAAATGAGATCTTTCATTTCTAAAAACTCCTTATTGCACCAAGTATTCTTTTAAATAGTTCCTGGAACAGAGTGAGATAAGTTATCTTGCATAAGTGAATTTACAAGTATATGAAAAGATGTAAAGTACAGAACTGATAAAAGAAAATTTGTTTTAGTATTACGTATATTCAGATGTGGAACTTCTGTCTCAAGAAGTTGCTGAAGCTAAGGTTTCCAAACCCAATTATTTAGAACTGCAGCCCATCCAGAGTGCTAGTATTTCCTGCTAGCACAGTTTTTGGAGGGAACATTAACAGGTGCAAACCGTTCATTAAAGACCAGGAGGAGATCTAGAGACAGAGCTGCCTACTGCAGGATTTTTATGCTCTCTTTGGAATGATTTGATATTAGAACCCAGCTAGACTTGCTGGATGGTGTGCTCCATACTGCTTAGAAATATTTAGCAACTAAAGATTTCAGTTGAAGCACTGACCTCTCAACAGCCACTGTTGTTTATTTATTAAGAGATTAAAACATATTTAATAAAATTGGGCAGACAAAACCAAGAAGCTGTCAAAACTGTGTGCCCAGTTATGACACTCTGAGGATCTCAAGTTGTGAATGCATTTCCCAGCTGCTTTTTGGGGGGAACCATTTGTAAATCATCTGATTTTTTTATTTATTTTTTTTTCAGTTGGCCACTGGTGCTATCAGTCACAGAAGGATGAGCATCCACACTGTGAAGGTACTGTTAAAAAGTTTATTTTTCCAGTCACATTAGTGTTTGGACTGATCTGTTTTGCAAATGAAGTCTAGATAGAAATAGTGCAAAAATTCCCACAGCTTAGCATTTAATGGAGCACAATCATTTTATATGTAAGTGCTAACCAGGATGTCTAAAAAATTTTAAGATATCAGCATCTGTGCAAACTATTCATTTTGTTTCAACCAAGGAAAACACTGCAAGTATCTTGTAAGTGTGCTCCAAAGGTAATCACCCCAGCAAGCTGGACACAGGCAGCTATTTAAATTCTTGAGGATAGTTATAAAAAAGCCTAATGTTCTACCTATAACCACAACTTCTGTTTCACCAGCAACATCAACCCCAGCTGCCTGCTCCCTCCCTCACCCCTGTGTACTGCCCAGCCCTCCCTGGAACTGACTGTGCTGGGAACAGCATTTCACTTCTACCACCATGACTTCTTGTTTTTGTTGTAGTTTCCAAGTTTCTATAGTTTAGCCAATCCCAGTGGTAGTTCACTTCATATTTTACAGCCATTTACATATGTATATCTTCCAATTAATCTTAACAGAACATTGTTGGCACATGTTCATATTTTTAAAAATACAAAGATTGAGATGCTAAGAAAGTTCTTGTATTGAATTTCAACATCCAAAGACTTTTTCTTAAAAAATGTCTCCAGTTTCCCAAGCAAGAATATATTGACTGGTGGGTGATTTGGCTTTATTAAGGATTTGCAGACAACAGAAAAAAAATATTTTCTTAATCCTTAAATAGATCCTCGACACTGGTATCTAACAGAAGCCTCTTGCAAAGGAAACAAACAATCACCTATCAATATTGTCACCAAAAATGCCATTTATGACAAGAGCCTTAAGCCACTGAGTTTTGAAGGATATGATGTGAAGGGGTCTTCAAAATGGAACATAGAAAATAATGGACATACAGGCAAGTACTGTCAAATTACTACTCTTGTTATGGAGCTTGTGCCTTCACTTGGAACCATCCATTTGCTTCTTCCATGGCCTGGGCAAGGTGTTAGATATCACTACTGATACTTAAAAGCAAGGAAACAAATATAAGATAGCACCCCTGTTTTTCAGAAGTCAAATGTTCAGAACACCTTCTGAACCAAGGCTTTCTGGGAACTTTGAGGTAATTATATAATTTTTGCATTCTGGAGACTGCCCTTGCGTACCTCAGCAGAGACTGGTTCTGTGCATGTACCAAATCAGAGCTCAAGAGCTCCAGGGAACCTCTGAGTCAAACAACAGGACTGGGAGGTGTGTGGGTACAGGGGTTTGGGGCAGCAGTTTTGGCAGAGGTACCTAATTTCTTCTGAATGCTCCTACTCCCTTCACTTTTGGGCTTGCCCTTTCTGATCCTTGCTTTTGCACAAAGAAGAATTCTGTGGAAGAACTATAATCTGGGGAAGTTGTTCAACCAGTGCCTCACAGTGTGTGTATTACCAGTGCTTTAAGTAATGAGCTGACATCTCAGATTTTGACCTGTTTTCTCCACATGCAGAAGTAATCTAATGTTGGCTTGCTAATCAGCTGCTTACTCATGCAGTAAACAGTGAATCAGTGAACAGCAAGTTAGTAAAGAAGGAGTGAATCAGTGAATAGTAATTCAGGACTCTTTGACTTTCTCTGTTTTTTGTCACTAAAAGCAATACTAATGACAATGTTTCAACAATATTATGCTAAATTACTTTAACTTTAAAAATAAATGTTGCTCTTTTTAAGAAATACATAGATGTTCTTAAAATCTTAGAGGGATTGTTTTAACTGCCAAATCCCTAAAACGGCAAGTTGCAAGTGGCAAATATTTCCCTAACTTAAAATGCAAATGTAGGAAGGCAGACAGCTGGGAAGATTTTCACAGCCAGAGATTATAGCTCACAGCATCAGCATTGGAACAGATGACAAGGAAAAGATGCTTTGACTTTTCACTAGTATATGGGTTAGTGACTCTCCCATTACAGAATGATATTCAAGAATTTCCACATTACAGTCACTGTTCATTGAAATATCTTTTACACAAAAAGTAATATTCATAAGGATTGGTCAGAGCTCTCTTCTTTCCCAGCCATGCAAAAGTATTAGGTTTTTTATTTGGGTATTTAAAATGTCTTGCTTCTGAGAGCAACCAACTCCTGTGCTACAATGTCTGGAACAATTGAATTGTTATTGCTTAAATTACAGCTGCAATTTGAAGCTCTATGTGAGATTAGACTACCATTATGTTTGATGATGTGCAGATAGCAAAGGTCAGTATCTCAAAGGTCCTACAATCTAGATAAATGAAACTAACAAAGATACGTTACTTATCCATTTACAGAGAAAAAAGCAAAGTAACTAAGTGACTCATGCAAGCTTGCAGAATTCAGAACAGAAACAAAATCTCTGGGGCTTCAATCCAGGTCAAAACAATCTTTCATATGGAAAGTGAAATATTGTGCTTAATGTAGAGGTCTTAATAAGTAAACACGCATCTCTCTACTCTCACATACTACTAATGTATCATCTGATTTATTTTTTTTTAAACACCTTGTTTTTCCTAGTTAAAGTTACATTGAGCACATTCCCTAAAATTGGAGGTGGAGGTCTGGGAAGAAAATACAAGGCAATAGAATTTCACTTGCACTGGGGAACTGAAGGTGTGTCGCAGTACCTTCCGGGGTCAGAGCACAGCATAGATGGAGAAAAACAAGCCATGGAGGTGGGTGAGACTACTTGTGGATCATGGCTTTTACTCAAGAACTCTGGCTTTTTAAGACACTTTTGCACAAAAACTATTGGCTTGCTCTCACATGAAACCCTGACAGTAGAAAAAAAAAAGAAGCAAGGACAGCTTGCTCACTAACCAGAACATGCAGGAAAACACGCTACTTTTGCATTGCAAAGGCACAGTACAGACAATAAATCTGGAGTTATGTAGACTTTTGGCAAGAGAAACATTTCAAAGTCTACACAGTCCAATTACATTCTCACATTGGTTATTCAGATTATGTATTCATTCTGAGCCTGCAACCATGAATCAACCTATGCAACCAGAAAAAAAAAAATACTCTCTTCAAGGCAAGATAAATCATCAGTGCTGAAACACACAGAGCCAGGAAGGGAAACCCCTTCCCTTACAAACCATGACGTAAAAATCTGCCTGCCCTGTCATGCAGACTGAAAATTGAGGACTGCAGCAGTCAACAGAGTGCTTCATGTTCTGGGGAGATGTTTGAAATGATACTGGTTTTGATGAATAAGTTTTCAAATTGTTGTCATGTATTGCATAGTCCTGCCTCAGGTCAAGGGCCTCCTGCTCTCTGACCCCACCCTGAGAGCCCCACTGCAGAGTCAGTGCAGAGCAGCTGCCAGGCTGCACTTGCTGCAACTGTCCAGGAAAATGAACAAATAATTGGCCTTGACTATTGTGTTACAGCTTCACATCGTGCACATAAGAGAAGATGTTTTGGATGTAACAGAAGCAAAGAAAAAGGCAGATGGTGTGGCTGTGTTAGCATTCTTTATAAAGGTAGGTAGCCAAATTTTTTATTGCTTATCTCAAATCTACCAGCAATCTGGCTGAGTGATCGACTCTGTTAATGTCACAGCAGTCTAAGACCTAAGCCTCCCTATCCCCTGCAGGCTATTCAGTTCCCCCATTTAGTTCCTTTATCCTTTTCTATACTGTTCTTACTGTTTTCTTTTAGCCTTGGGAATCTTTTTTGGTTTATTCACAATTAATTAAAAGCAACTAGTTGTTGAGAAGTGCATTATTTGGAATAAAAATATTTCCATTTCAGGTTAAAGAAGAAAATAAAAATTTTGCAACTCTAATAAATGAATTAGACAATATTAAATACAAAGGTAAGACATTTGTATTTGTCAATCCTTAACATATATTTATTTTGGACACATAGACTATCAAGCAGTTCATGGTCCAATCCTGTTCTAATTGTAGTAGAGATTGATAATTGAAATTCAAAGTAAAAGGATAAAAATGAGTTTTTCAAGCACTCAGAGCCACACTTTTAACAAGTGATATTTCCATGTGGTTTGTCTAGGGCAAACAGCACAGATGGAGGCTTTGCCACTGAGTTCTCTGCTCCCACCTGAGAAAGAGCTGGGGAGGTACTATCGGTATGAGGGCTCCCTCACCACTCCTGATTGCCATGAGGGTGTTATCTGGACAGTATTTGAGAGGCCAATTGAACTCAGCATTACTCAGGTGAGTCACAGAGGGATACCCTGGAAGGTCTGCTTACAGTTATTTTGTCCCTCTGCCTGCTCACTCCCATAATTTAACACAGATTTGTCAGCTTCTCCACTGCCGTGTTCCTATGACACACACACACACACTCTTGGCATTAGCCTAAACATAGTCCCTGGTGCCAGTTTTTCAACCCTATTAAATAATCTCTCAGAAAATGGCAGGAAAGGGGAAGGAAGGGGAAATGACGATGTGAAAAGAAAGCCAAAAGATCCCTCAGGTAACCACCTAGCTCAGCACTTCGTCAGCAGCACTTCCACTGCTGTCATCTGCTCACCCCCAAATTTCCCTGCTTTTCTCCTGTTGTCATGTCATGACATCAGAAGAGAATCCTTCAAAACAAAACTTTGAGTTCACCAGCATTACCTTTAAACAGCCCATTTTTGTCCCGTAGAGAGGAACAGGACACTGAATAATGACTGCCTCAAAAATACAGCTTGTTCAACTGACAGAGTACATTATTTAAAAATTGAGATGTTCTGGAATGGTCTCTCAGCAATACTACCAGCCAGCACAGCCTGGCCCAGAGCCAGTGTCTGCATTTTAGTTCTCTACCTGTGGTTTACTCATCATCACTTCAGTCACAGGGCAATGCTCAGCCACACACAAGTCAGCACAGCACAGTGCACAAGGTGGGGGGGCATCTGTTTGCTCTGGGTAAGCTTCTTGCTGAGGCAAGTTCAAAACTTGGAGCAAAGAAATAAATCCTAGTCCTCTTACTTCGTGTCACACTGACATGATGGACAAAGACGGGACTCTGTGCGTCAAGAGGACTGGTGTAACCAGGTCCTTCAGCTGGACAAAGCATTTTGGCTCATGCAGAAAGGAAGTCCTCATGATTTCCAAGGCAAAAGAAGTCATCTGTTGGTGACCTCTGGCAGGAGCCTCCATCACATTATTTCCTGCAAGGCTTAATTCATCCATACAGTTCAAAACAATGCCACAGATGCAGGCACTGCACATATATAATGTGACTTCCAAGGTCCCATAGAAAAAGGATTTAACAATTTTTTTCTTTGATGTCTACAGATTTCTCAGTTTTCAACAGTCCACTTTGAAGGGAAGAACTCAACCTCCATGGCTGAAAATTTCCGGCCTGCTCAGTTTCTGAATGAACGAAAGGTGTACTGGTCCAGTGCCAGCATCCTCCTGCCTCCTGCTAAAGTTCTAATGTTGGTCTTGATGCTTACGTACATCTTGAGTTCTCTTTTCCAGTGAATGCTTCTCACCTCATTCAAGGCTCTGGGCCTTTTTGAAGGCTCTTTGTTGTTGCTGTTGTTGGCTCTTTGTATCAAGTAGTGTCTCTAACTACCAACTCATGAATCATATCTCAATAGAGAATTTAACCTTGTCCTCCTCCAGATACTAACCAAGGACTTCTGTTGCTGCTCTTACATAAAATGAAACCCATTGCACTAAATCACAAGAATTCAAAGGAACTCTAAGATAAAGCTATGAAGATTCAGATTTTTTAAAAAACCAAAAAGCAACAGTTAAACATTAGGCTGGATTACCTGCAAGCCTGTAGTTTTAACACTGGAAGGACAATCTAGAAGCTATACAGAGGACAATCAAGATGAATCTGTTCTTAAGTGCCTATAAAGGGTTTTGTTTGGAGCATGTTTACATTCAATACTGCAAATCAGGAAGACAGTAACTCGTGAAGTAGTTCTTATCATCCCAACATTGTCCTACACGAAGGTACAGTACAGAGCAAAGAAAAAATGCTCACACACAATTGAGTAACATCTGGGTCATCCTATGTAGTGAAGGATATGTGACAAATTTCATCTCTACTAACACAATTTTCCGCTCTACTTCCTTTAGAATATCTAAAGTTAAATTTTATATAGGGATACTGGATTTGCTTCATCTCATCTACTGATTCTGGATTTCAGGTTTCTCTATTAAGCTATTTATTCATCCTAGTATGGAATCCTACTCTGGGACGCCCATGGCTGATATGATGTGCTGGAACAAAAAAGGGAAGCTCAACCACATGTACCAGTTGCACATCTGTGGAAATTCCCTCTCTTTGGAGGGCTGCATTTGAAGCATGAGACTTTGATGATCCATTACAGTTTTTATTTACCTAATAAAATGGGACAGCTCAAGAAATGGCTCTTTCCAGTATCACATTTTAGAAGTTTTTAAATGTCACTTTGAACATTTCCTTTTTTTTTGGCATGTATAACATATCTGCAATATTCACATAGGGTTAAGATTCATAGTTTTTCCAAGAAGATTGTGATTTTAACTGTTTTCTTCAGATCTTACCCATTTATCAAAAATCTCAATATATTGGGAAATGGGATTTCCTTACTCCAGTTCTCCCTCTGAAGACAGACACAACAGTTTTCTTCAGCTATTGCCATATAATATGTTACAGCTTCTTTTAGAATTGTAGATTTTGGCCACGCCAAAATAGCATTTCATATTAGCAGATTTGTATTTTTTTCTTTAGGGCAATGTTTGCAGAGATGACTTTATGCTACAGCTATAAGGTCATTTTCAGGAAAATAATGGCAGTGGGACTAACCACAGCTCTCCAAAGGAGAAAAAGCAGGGTCAAAAATTATTTTCATATTTAACAATCAATAATATAAGCTTAAAAACAAACAAACAAAAACAACCAAAAAAACCAACGCGTGGGAAGGCTAATTCACCTTTTCAAGTTTAGAGGAATGATTAAGACTTGAACTGTATTTTTAGATAACTGAAAACCTTTTGAGAAGGAAACATAAATGAAAGATTAAAGTTGAACAAAGATCTATATTTTCATTGCCTTGAGTTTTTTATTACTTTTGTCCTTGCTGAAGGGGAATCCAGACAACACTCATTCAGGAAAGGAATGTGACTTTTCTCCCCCTATTTTCTTCATAATGTTTAGGGTTGGGTTTGCTTATTTTATTTTATTTTTTTGAGGGGGGTGGGGGGGTAGGTAGGTAAGCATGTGTGTGTGGAAGGGAGGGAGTTGCAGTACATTGGGATGTTTCTGATGTCAATAGCCCTCTGGAGGTTTTACTTCACTCACATGGGTCATCAGGGTATTATCTGCACACAGCAAAATTGCTTTGAGTACAGCGCCTTGCTCAGCAGAGCCATGCACACACCCAGCTAGAGGACAGGCAGATTTCTTACCATGAAGGAAAGGGTTCCATGGATTTACCCAATATTCTGTACTAGCTAGTTAACCAGAATAAACAGTTGCCTACTGATCCATCTGTTAGCTATGTCCATTATATCCCTCAACATTCCACAAGTCGAGAACGCACCCAGAAATCAGGAGGAAATATGCTTTGTTTTCAGGTTGGTTTAAAAGATGTAATAAATTGAAGTAGCCTGCAAGACTGGTGTTTCACGATTCACATGCAACATAGTAAACAGCACAATCACATTCAAAAATCCTGTAGGCCTGGGAGCTCCAATTAACTCTGTGAACACTCCTCAGGGTGCCTCCACTGACCACAATGCATTTTCCACTACAAAAGCCTCCTGCATCTGCTGGGTGTATGTGTACGAGCCCACCATCCTTGTCCATTCACATAATTAACTAAATTCATGAGGTGATTCTCATTTCATAGGCAAGTCTCATAAGGGTGATTGGAACAAATCATCAAGGATCTGGTCATTTATTGCTAGTGATTCACAGGGGCAAATTTTCACTAGGTTGTGCCTCAGTTTAACTTGTGGATAGAGAGGAGCACTCACAAGAGTTACAATGAGAGAGGATCTTATTGTGAAATATATTAAAACATACCTAAGAGGAAGAGACAAAAAATCTGAAAAAAAAAAGAAAAAGGAAAAAAAAAAAAAAGGTTGGTCTTTTGTGCAGCCTCTTCTGCACAAACCTCACAAGAAAAAACTGTGAATAGACAAGTATGACCATTTTTACTGAGTGAACCTCAATTGTATGCCTCTGAGGAAAAAGGAAATGTTACAATCTGCATCTCTGTCAGTGATCTAGTTCAGTTTGTTAGCTGGTACCTCTTTACAACCAGACACATTTTGTTCTGGTGCAGGATGTGGCAATTAGAAGATTAGTATTAACTCAGTAAATAAATACAAATTGTCTGTGAAAACTATTCAATAAAAAAAACAAAAAACAGCAAAAGACAGGAAGGCTTGAAGTGGGACATTTTGTTTTCTTTTGTGAGGACAGTTATGGAAAAGTAATTTGCTGTTCCACAGGTAGCTTCAGGAGCTGATTTTCAAGAATTTTGTCTATAGTACATTTGGTAGGAAACTTCTTACATTACAAAGACACTACGAAACAACAGTAACTCCTGTTGAACAAGTAGCCAAATTGTGACAATACAGGAAAGGGTGGGGGAAGGAACACAGGTATTTAGAAAGACCCAGAAAGAAGAGCATTTTCCCACACACAGAAAAGTTAACACAGAACTTTGTTAATACATTTCACATATGCTAGAGCCAGAGTTGAAGACCACTTAGCACCTGTGACTGAAAACTGGAGTACAATAGGAAATGAAACAATATTGGAAGCTAGAATTCACTAGAAACGTATATTCTAGGTTTAAAACAAAAAGACCAGCAGGGCCTTTGCCAGCCAGAATCAACTCAGAGGTAGACTAACATTTGGATTGTAGAAAACCAGACATATCAACTAATCCCAAAACACTTTGGGACATGATCAAAGTCTGGATGTAGCTTTGCTTGTGAAAACTCTGGAAGCTGCTAGCACTTTGTTTTTGGGTTCTCCTGTAATGGATGTCATGGTAGAGTCCACTCATCTTAAGGCTGAATAGCAACCAAGGACTCCCCAAACTTCAGAAGGTCCTTTCTAAAATTATACCAAGCTGGGATTGCATTGCATTGCATAATGTATGCAAAAAGCAGCCCCCCTCCAATTTTGGACCAGACCTCAATTTGAGGGCAAGTCTTCCGAGGTCAGAGAGGTGAAGGAGCAGATCTGCTGTATGAGCTCAGGCCCAGCTTCACTCCTATCACAATCATCTGACAGTCAGCAGGGTATGGGGGGTGACAGGAGGGGCAGGCACAAAAAACAATCCCAAATACAATATGTTTTCAGCAAAACACTTTCTCAGGAAGCAGAAAGAGACAAGGAAACATAACTATTACTCACAAGAAATATATTTACATTATCCACAAAGAATTTCAAGAAACTTGCCAGCTCCATTGTATGGCCAGCTCCTCCTGCTGACAAACATGAGCTCAAAATACACTTCTCTACCTTACAGAAATATTTTTCAATATTTTTCCATGACTACTTCAAGAAAAGAACATAGCTTTTTGCTTTTTCCTTTCTTCCCTTGTCCATCCAGAAGTGGATTTCCCAGGGAAGACAGCATTTGCTGGCACAGCCAACAGCCTTCCTGTTAAACAGTTGTCATGTAGCAAATCCACATAAAATAACCTTCCATCTATCTGGAGTCAAAAAAGGATAGAGAAGCCTACCTACCTTCCCAGTCTGATTTTGAAGTGTAATAAACGTCTTAGTACCAGGTGTAACATCAACAACCTCTGATTCAGACACGGGGAGGCCATTGCCAACTGCTGCACATGGCACAGGACGTAACACTCCACAACAAAAAATATTAGACTTGGAGATGCAAGGCTCTTTTCAGTAGTGTTAAAAGCAGATGTGGTCATTTTCTTTCAAAAAGCTCTATGAATGATTTAGAGAGATTTCAATGACAAAGAAAAAATGTCATGGTAACTCTTGTGAAGGCAGAAGCAACTTCTGGAAAACACTTAAGATAGGAGAAAATAATATTTAATTTTTTTTTTTAAGTAAATGCAGGCTTTACAAGTAAATTAATGTGGAAAAGCCATAACTCTTGTGAAGGCAGAAGCAACTTGTGGAAAACATTTAAGATAGGAGAAAATAACATTATTTTTTTTTTAAAGTAAATGTAGGCTTTACAAGTAAATTAATGTGGAAAAGCCACTAAAACTCCAGCTGAGATGCACTGAAAGAAGCACATGAAGAAACCAAGACTGGCAGCCTCCAGCCATGGTGCCCAGCCCACAGACAGGGGAGGATGTGGCTGATAATCCTGTGGGATTCTTTCACAAGAAGCACCTAAAACCCACCTCACACATTCTTGCTGCTGTAGAAACCTTACAATAGCATCTGTTGAAACACAAGGAGATGCATTCTTCCCACAAGGAAGAAGCTGAGGCACCTGGGATGCCTGTCTGAGGTGCCCCATTAGCCCAGGGTGGCGCTCCGC